GGTGTAGTGCAGGGGTGGTGTGGGTGTAGTGCAGGGGTGGTGTGGGTGTAATGTTTTCGTTAGGGCTAAAACTTCTACTCTACCCAACCAACCACCCAACCACCCAACCACCCAACCAACCTACCACCCAACCACCCACCCAACAACCCAACCAACCACCCAACAACCCAACCAGCAACCCACCCAACCACCCAACCACCCACTCACCCAACCACTCACCCAACCACCCACTCACTCACCCAACCAACAACCCATCCAACCACCTAACCACCCAACCACCCAACCACCCAACCACCCAGCCAACAACCCATCCAACCACCTAACCACCCAACCACCCAACCACCCAACCACCCAGCCAACAACCCATCCAACCACCTAACCACCCAACCACCCAACCACCCAGCCAACAACCCATCCAACCACCTATCCACCTAACCACCTAACCACCTAACCACCCAACCACCCAACCACCCAACCAACCGACCACTAAAAAACTTCCATCTTGTCATGCCGTCTTCTAGTGATGTCAAAAGTTGAGAACTATTTAATGATGACCTTTGAACCTTCTCTATAACGTTGGGCTAATCCGTGGCCAGCAAGAGAGAGCTAGTTGGCCTTGTTGGCCATTAGCGTCAAATAGTTTTACACCCAAGATGGCCTCTCATTGTCCGAGTTGGTTTATGGCTCTGTCGGACCGGATGTGCTCACGTCCACGTGCCGGCTGGTCGACCATACGGCCGGTTCTAGCCGGCTAGTTCACACTTTATCTTCCTACTTGATGTCCCGGTAATTTGAACATAGCCGGCTTTGTACCGGCAATGAATACCGGCAATATGCCGGCACTCAAGCGTCGCCGGATTGATGTCACTAGACTAGACATAAATCAGTGGTCGGTGGTAAGACACGGCAGTTGGGGCTGTACGACACGGCTGTACGACACGGCTGTACGACACGGCTGTACGACACGGCTGTGCGACACGGCTGTACGACACGGCTGTACGACACGGCTGTACGACACGGCTGTACGACACGGCTGTACGACACGGCTGTACGACACGGCTGTACGACACGGCTGTACGACACGGATGTTGGGCTGTACGACACGGATGTACGACACGGCTGTACGACACGGCTGTACGACACGGCTGTACGACACGGATGTACGACACGGATGTACGACACGGCTGTACGACACGGCTGTACGACACGGATGTACGACACGGATGTACGACACGGCTGTTGGGCACATATAAGTCACATATCACCATCTCATCAACAGCATATAAGTCACGTGATGTATGTCCTGATGGGTTTAACAAACATATCAGTGTAGGTTAAAGGGGCGGGTGTGCATGTGCATCGTCCTGCTAAAGTATTCATTAGTGTAATTACATTTATGTTAATGAGCGATGAATATAATGATTTAGGGGATACGTAGAGGTATGGGGAGGGGGTGTCGATGTTTGTAAGATTATTCTAGACTTTTATGACCCACATAAACCATCACGGGGGTAACATTAGCTCAATGCTGACCACTCGACACGTGCATTATTGGAGTACTCACGCCCCGTCAGATCGTACGGATGTTAGGGAGCTCTTGTAGCCATCTGGCTCTGGTCGTCTGGTCACGTGGTGTCTACTCTCTGGTGTGTGGTGTGTGGTGTCTACTCTCTGGTGTGTGGTGTGTGGTGTGTGGTGTCTACTCTCTGGTGTGTGGTGTGTGGTGTCTACTCTCTGGTGTGTGGTGTGTGGTGTGTGGTGTGTGGTGTCTACTCTCTGGTGTGTGGTGTGTGGTGTCTACTCTCTGGTGTGTGGTGTCTACTCTCTGGTGTGTGGTGTCTACTCTCTGGTGTGTGGTGTGTGGCGTGTGGTGTCTACTCTCTGGTGTGTGGTGTGTGGTGTCTACTCTCTGGTGTGTGGTGTGTGGTGTCTACTCTCTGGTGTGTGGTGTAAGGTGTCTACTCTCTGGTGTGTGGTGTGTGGCGTGTGGTGTCTACTCTCTGGTGTGTGGTGTGTGGTGTCTACTCTCTGGTGTGTGGTGTGTGGTGTCTACTCTCTGGTGTGTGGTGTGTGGTGTCTACTCTCTGGTGTGTGGTGTGTGGTGTCTACTCTCTGGTGTGTGGTGTGTGGTGTCTACACTCTGGTGTGTGGTGTGTGGTGTCTACTCTCTGGTGTGTGGTGTGTGGTGTCTACTCTCTGGTGTGTGGTGTGTGGTGTCATGACCACGGTCTATGTGACACTCCACTAAACAGAACGTGATTTATCCAAACAATGATCTGTTTCTCTGACAATCAAGGCTTGTTTTTTACCAACTCTACCTTCCTATAAAGTGTCAATCTTCCTTAGTTAACCATTAGTTATTGAACTGTATTGATTTTTTTACTTTTTTATTTTTTTTTAACATGTGTCTCAGCACTCCAGTGGTGTCCCTTGATGGACTAATGGAGTAGTGGATTGTAGGACTAGTGGAGTGTAGGACTAGTGGAGTGTAGGACTAGTGGAGTGTAGGACTAGTGGAGTGTAGGACCAGTGGAGTGTAGGACCAGTGGAGTGTAGGACCAGTGGAGTGTAGGACCAGTGGAGTGTAGGACCAGTGGAGTGTAGGACTAGTGGAGTGTAGGACTAGTGGAGTGTAGGACTAGTGGAGTGTAGGACTAGTGGAGTGTAGGACTAGTGGAGTGTAGGACCAGTGGAGTGTAGGACCAGTGGAGTGTAGGACCAGTGGAGTGTAGGACCAGTGGAGTGTAGGACCAGTGGAGTGTAGGACCAGTGGAGTGTAGGACTAGTGGAGTGTAGGACTAGTGGAGTGTAGGACTAGTGGAGTGTAGGACTAGTGGAGTGTAGGACCAGTGGAGTGTAGGACCAGTGGAGTGTAGGACCAGTGGAGTGTAGGACCAGTGGAGTGTAGGACTAGTGGAGTGTAGGACTAGTGGAGTGTAGGACTAGTGGAGTGTAGGACTAGTGGAGTGTAGGACTAGTGGAGTGTAGGACTAGTGTAGATTAGGACTAGTGGAGTGTAGGAATAATGGAGTGTAGGACTAGTGGAGTGTAGGACCAGTGGAGTGTAGGACCAGTAGAGTGTAGGACTTGTGGAGTGTAGGACTAGTGGAGTGTAGGACTAGTGGAGTGTAGGACTAGTGGAGTGTAGGACTAGTGGAGTGTAGGACTAGTGGAGTGTAGGAATAGTGGAGTGTAGGACTAGTGGAGTGTAGGACTAGTGGAGTGTAGGACTAGTGGAGTGTAGGACTAGTGGAGTGTAGGACTAGTGGAGTGTAGGACTAGTGGAGTGTAGGACTAGTGGAGTGTAGGACTAGTGGAGTGTAGGACTAGTGGAGTGTAGGACTAGTGGAGTGTAGGAATAATGGAGTGTAGGACTAGTGGAGTGTAGGACCAGTGGAGTGTAGGACCAGTAGAGTGTAGGACTTGTGGAGTGTAGGACTAGTGGAGTGTAGGACTAGTGGAGTGTAGGACTAGTGGAGTGTAGGACTAGTGGAGTGTAGGACTAGTGGAGTGTAGGAATAGTGGAGTGTAGGACTAGTGGAGTGTAGGACTAGTGGAGTGTAGGACTAGTGGAGAGTAGGACTAGTGGAGTGTAGGACTAGTGGAGTGTAGGACTAGTGGAGTAGTGGAGTGTGGGACTAGTGGAGTGTAGGACCAGTGGAGTGTAGGACCAGTGTAGGACTAGTGGAGTGTAGGACTAGTGGAGTGTAGGACTAGTGGAGTGTAGGACCAGTGGAGTGTAGGACTAGTGGAGTGTAGGACTAGTGGAGTGTAGGACTAGTGGAGTGTAGGACTAGTGGAGTGTAGGACCAGTGGAGTGTAGGACTAGTGGAGTGTAGGACTAGTGGAGTGTAGGACCAGTGGAGTGTAGGACTAGTGGAGTGTAGGACTAGTTGAGTGTAGGACTAGTGGAGTGTGGGACCAATGGAGTGTAGGACCAGTGGAGTGTAGGACTAGTGGAGTGTAGGACTAGTGGAGTGTAGGACTAGTGGAGTGTAGAACCAGTGGAGTCTAGCACTAGTTGAGTGTTATATAAAATATTTGACATTGAACACACTGAAAACAAAAAATGTTATGCTTAAAATTTTATGAATATTTACATTGGTTGTTGAAGTACTCTATAGCTTACAGAGTTTAACATCAGAAGGCAACATGGGTTTACAAAGTTTAACATGAGAAGGCAACAATTCTTTAAAACGTGACATAGACGGCAACAATAGTTTACAATGTAGAAGACTAGATGGCAACAATTGTGTTCATTGAAAAAACAATAACATGATACCATAGATGGTTGAGGAAGACCAAGAATTGCACATGTCGGTGTAAAGAGGGCGTAGGTAAGCACATGTGTAAAGAAGGCGTAGGTGAGCACATGTGTAAAGAAGGCGTAGGTGAGCACATGTGTAAAGAAGGCGTAGGTGAGCACACGTGTAAAGAAGGCGTAGGTGAGCACATGTGTAAAGAAGGCGTAGGTGAGCACATGTGTAAAGAAGGCGTAGGTGAGCACATGTGTAAAGAAGGCGTAGGTGAGCACATGTGTAAAGAAGGCGTAGGTGAGCACACGTGTAAAGAGGGTTGGGTGCGTTTCTTAATGTTGTCTTTGACTGGATACGTTAAAATGCCAACAGTTACTAACAAATAAATAAATGTGAATATTGCACAAAACATCTCAGCTACAATTTGACGTTTACAGGGAGGTTCCAGCACATTTCTCGTGTGTCAGCTCTCGTGGGTCAGCTCTCGTGGGTCAGCGAGCACACGCAGGTCGTGTGTGTGGACGTGTGTGGACGTGTGTGGACGTGTGTGGACGTGTGTGGACGTGTGTGGACGTGTGTGGACGTGTGTGGACGTGTGTGGACGTGTGTGTGGACGTGTGTGTGGACGTGTGTGTGGACGTGTGTGTGGTCGTGTGTGTGGTCGAATGGTCTCTACTTCCGGTGGTCTGGACGTCCTGTTTGCATGCGTCACGACTCCGGCAGACGTCCCATGACGTCACGTTGCTAGACGTTTATCTGGTTGCCGCCCGGCGAAATGTTTCTCATTTGTTTCGTCACTTCCGTCACACCAGCCAGAGTTCCTTTAACGTCGCCATGGCAACACGGCACCAAGTCAGGGTCGCGATGACCTTTGACCTCCAGTTTCCGGCCCTGCTCGTGGTCTGGGGAGTCACGTGACGCAGGACTCGATGACTCCGTCACACGGTTTAATTGCTCACAGTCTGCTGGCTGACTCTGCTTCCCCTGCCCAGCCTGCTTGACGTGGCTGGTACAGGATCTCAGGCACTTACACGTCACTTCCGGTCCTTCCTTCTTCTGCTTGACGCGCCTGTTCTGGAACCAGATCTTGACCTGTTTTTCGGACAGGCTCAGGCAGGTGGCAATCTCTATGCGGCGCAGTCGGGACAGGTACATATTAGAGCTGAATGCTCGCTCCAGCTCCAGCAGCTGGGTGCTGGTGAAAGCTGTCCTCATCCGCTTGCATGAAGGGAGGTCGTCTGATGGGCCATTGACGCCTGGGATGGGAAGTGACGTAGGATTAAAATATGAACACAGGAAGTGACGTAGGATTAAAATATGAACACAGGAAGTGACGTAGGATTAAAATATGAACACAGGAAGTGACGTAGGATTAAAATATGAACACACGAAGTGACGTAGGATTAAAATATGAACACACGAAGTGACGTAGGATTAAAATATGAACAAAGGAAGTGACGTAGGATTAAAATATGAACACACGAAGTGACGTAGGATTAAAACATGAACAAAGGAAGTGACGTAGGATTAAAATATTAACAAAGGAAGTGGCGTAGGATAAAATTTGAACACAGGAAGTGACGTAGGATTAAAATATGAACACAGGAAGTGACGTAGTATTAAAATATGAACAAAGGAAGTGACGTAGGATTAAAATATGAACAAAGGAAGTGGCGTAGGATTAAAATATGAACAAAGGAAGTGACGTAGGATTAAAATATCAACAAAGGAAGTGGCGTAGGATTAAAATATGAACACAGGAAGTGACGTAGGATTAAAATATGAACAAAGGAAGTGACGTAGGATTAAAATATGAACAAAGGAAAAGACGTAGGATTAAAATATGAACAAAGGGAGTGACGTAGGATTAAAATATGAACAAAGGGAGTGACGTAGGATTAAAATATGAACAAAGGAAGTGACGTAGGATTAAAATATGAACACACGAAGTGACGTAGGATTAAAATATGAACAAAGGAAGTGACGTAGGATTAAAATATGAACAAAGGAAGTGACGTAGGATTAAAATATGAACACACGAAGTGACGTAGGATTAAAATATGAACAAAGGAAGTGACGTAGGATTAAAATATGAACAAAGGAAGTGGCGTAGGATAAAATTTGAACACAGGAAGTGACGTAGGATTAAAATATGAACACACGAAGTGACGTAGGATTAAAATATGAACAAAGGAAGTGACGTAGGATTAAAATATGAACACACGAAGTGACGTAGGATTAAAATATGAACAAAGGAAGTGACGTAGGATTAAAATATGAACAAAGGAAGTGGCGTAGGATAAAATTTGAACACAGGAAGTGACGTAGGATTAAAATATGAACACAGGAAGTGACGTAGTATTAAAATATGAACAAAGGAAGTGACGTAGGATTAAAATATGAACAAAGGAAGTGGCGTAGGATTAAAATATGAACAAAGGAAGTGACGTAGGATTAAAATATCAACAAAGGAAGTGGCGTAGGATTAAAATATGAACACAGGAAGTGACGTAGGATTAAAATATGAACAAAGGAAGTGACGTAGGATTAAAATATGAACAAAGGAAGTGACGTAGGATTAAAATATGAACAAAGGGAGTGACGTAGGATTAAAATATGAACAAAGGGAGTGACGTAGGATTAAAATATGAACAAAGGAAGTGACGTAGGATTAAAATATGAACACACGAAGTGACGTAGGATTAAAATATGAACAAAGGAAGTGACGTAGGATTAAAATATGAACAAAGGAAGTGACGTAGGATTACATATGAACACACGAAGTGACGTAGAATTAAACGATGGGTCGAGTCAGATTAAAAAATTAACCCTCTACAGTTGAACATTATTCTATATGATTTAGTGTAAATATTGCCATTGTCCCAGCAATCGATTCTTGGGCAGTAGGAACCGAGGCTTTAGTCGAGAGCATGAAATATTGTTAACTGTTTTACTACGTCAACGGCCATTTGTTTGGTTGTTGTTAATTGATGTTAATTGATGTTAATTGATGTTGCTTAACATCTAGCTATTTAACTTAACATCTAGCTATTTGACATCTAACTATTTAACTTGACATCTAGCTATTTAACTTGACATCTAGCTATTTGACATCAAGCTATTTTACTTGACATCTAGCTATTTGACTTGAAATCTAGCTATTTTACTTGACATCTAGCTATTTGACTTGACATCTAGCTATTTGACTTGACATCTAGCTATTTGACTTGATATCTAGCTATTTAACTTGACATCTAACTATTTGACATCTAACTATTTAACTTGACATCTAGCTATTTAACTTGATATTGGTCGATGTTAGTTAATGTGAAACTAATTGTATGTAATCATCATTATTATGTCCAATCGGAACAGTTTTTATGAAACAATTAATTTTCAGATACATGTACACAAATTAAAAGTTAAATCAAACATACTAGGGATGTTAATTGATGTCGATTGTTGTTGGCTTTTGTTGTTTGTTGGTTTTGGCTGATGTTGGTTGATGTTGGCTGATGTTGGTTGATGTTGGCTGATGTTGGCTGATGTTGGCTAATGTGTGGCTGATGTTGGCTGATGTTGGCTGATGTTAATTGATGTTGGTTGATGTTGGCTGATGTTGGCTAATGTTGGCTGATGTTGGCTAATGTTGGCTGATGTTGGCTGATGTTGGTTGATGTTAATTGATGTTGGTTGATGTTGGCTGATGTTGGCTGATGTTAATTGATGTTGGTTGATGTTGGGTGATGTTGGCTGATGTTGGCTGATGTTGGTTGATGTTAATTGATGTTGGCTGATGTTGGTTGATGTTAATTGATGTTAGTTGATGTTGGTTGATGTTGGTTGATGTTAATTGATGTTAATTGATGTTGGTTGGTTGTAAATTGTTTGGCTCAAAGCTCTGACCTAATGAAGTCTAGTTTAGTCGTCAGACTGCATGTCTGATCCGACGTAGATCTAACTTCTATACTTGACATCTAGCTATTTGACTTGACATCTAGCTATTTTACTTGACATCTAGGTATTTGACATCTAGCTTTTTGACTTGACATCCAGCTATTTTACTTGACATCTAGCTATTTTACTTGCCATCTAGCTATTTTACTTGACATCTAGCTTTTTGACATCTAACTATTTAACTTGACATCTAGCTTTTTAACTTGACATCTAGCTATTTGACATCTAGCTATTTAACTTGACATCTAGCTATTTAACTTGACATCTAGCTAATTGACATCTAGCTATTTAACTTGACATCTAGCTATTTTTCTTGATATCTAGCTATTTTACTTGACATCTAGCTATTTGGCATCTAACTATTTAACTTGACATCTAGCTATTTAACTTGACATCTAGCTATTTGACATCAAGCTATTTTACTTGCCATCTAGCTATTTTACTTGCCATCTAGCTATTTGACTTGACATCTAGCTATTTGACTTGACATCTAGCTATTTGACATCTAACTATTTAACTTGACATCTAGCTATTTAACTTGACATCTAGCTATTTGACATCAAGCTATTTTACTTGCCAACTAGCTATTTGACTTGACATCTAGCTATTTGACTTGACATCCAGCTATTTGACTTGATATCTAGCTATTTGACATCTAACTATTTGACTTGACATCTAGCTATTTGACTTGATATCTAGCTATTTGACATCTAGCTATTTGACTCGACATCCAGCTATTTTACTTGACATCTAGCTATTTTACTTGACATCTAGCTATTTGACTTGACATCTAGCTATTTGACTTGACATCTAGCTATTTGACTTGACATCTAGCTATTTGACTTGACATCTAGCTATAGACAAAAAAAACTTACTTGTCTCAGTTTGTCGCCTCTTTCTGTCCCTACAGCTGTGGGTGGGGGGATGATGAGGGGTCTGCTCACAGCTGTCGGGGTGGGGGTCTTGTGACAGGGGCGGAGACTTCACGCTGACGTCACTGTGATGCGAGAAAGGCGGGATGTATGATGACGTCACTGTCGGCGGTGATGCTGGCCTTCTGGGCCCTGACGAGGAGGGGTGTGACGTCATCAGATGGGCCGACGTCATCAACTGCGCTGACGTCAGGCCATGGGCGGACAGGCTATGGGGCGCCAGAGCGTTGGTCGGGACATGCACACACAGGGGGCAGCAGAACGCCCCAAACAGGTCGCCGGGGTGCCGGGTGTAGCAGGCGATCCCGGGGGAGGGGTGGAGATGGTGCGAGGGACGAGACCTGGCCAGCAGGGTCGGCACCATCATCGTCTGGATGTGGGGGCTGGAGGTGGGGGGTGGGGACACCCCGGGTTTCTTCACGATTAAAGAATCCACATAGAACGACCTTGACATTGTGACTCGAGAAAAATAAATCCAGAATGTTCTTTTCTTATTGCAACCAGCAAAACATAGTACCCAGCACTAAGGAACATCAGACGGGTGGATGCAGCATAACGGTGCCAGAATTTATAACCTTGGCTAGCGGTCGGCCCGGGGGAGGGGCCCCATTGATCGGGCTAGGGGTGGTTCTCATTGGTCAGCGCCAGGCCGGGCGGCGGGTGGGGCGGGGATGAGAATCTACCGGGCCGGGGGCGCTGGGTGCAAAGTGTGACTGACGGTACAGCTAGCGTCACGCCTCACTGAGCACGTGGCCTCAAGACGCGCACGGCACGCCGCCCTATTCAAGACGGCACGTTTGATTGGTCGGGCTACCCTTCGGCACGCGCCGGCGACAAGTGATGACAAATTTCAGCCAATGGTCGTTCGCTTGGAAATCATCGTTGGTTAGAATGTCATGAGTTGAACTAGCTCATTAGGCGGCCAGAGTTTGTTTTTCTTCTCGGGGTTGGCAACACTGGAGCCCTGAGCTTGGAGCTTAACTTTAGGCGCAGTGAATGAGCTGAAGCAGATGTTTAGCTCCACCTTTGGTTATTCATAATCTTTACATGGGGGGGGGGGGGGGGGGGGAGAATGGGGGGGGGGGGGCTTACTCAAGAACAATTTGTTGTGACTTCTAAATATGCAGGGCCGGCGCTACCTATAAGGCGAACTAGCGGTCGCCTAGGGCGCTATCCATAGGGGGGGGGGGGGGGGGAGAGCGCAAAAATGTGTCATCGCGATAATTATAAAGTACCTAATAATTAACAACTTTGATTATATTATCTAAACTTTAGCCAGGGTAAAATACAAAGGTGTAGCGATCATTAATTTTGCACCCCCTCCTTAAATCATTTGGAAAGTTAAATAAGACCGTAATGCCAAGTAGCCGTCAAAATTCTTCATTTCGACGGTATAGGGCCTATAATTCAATAATTAGCTTTTTAAATTATCTACCACGTTTGGCACCCCTTTTGGGTCGACGCCTTTGCCGGCCGCCCCAGTCGCGCTCCCCTAGACACGCCTCATGTAATGAGATAATTATTGCATATTGCATGTTTCCATATACTACTAAAAAATAAACTTTGTCTACATGTTTATATATATATATATATATATATATATATATATATATATATATATATATATATATATATATATATATATATATATATATATATAAATTGTTCGTCTATTTGGTTATCGGAGAGAATCTGCACTAATTGTAGAGCTGTAAAATAGTAATTAGGTAGAGAACAATTTTTGTTTTTTAGACAGACTGTTAATCACAAATTTATTTAAAGACGTTAATTAATTTATTGATTTATTCATTGGTAGAATAACCACATTAATTATAAAATTTCAGAACAATGACTTTACTTATAGTGAATAGTGACGTCACATAATTTATTTACTTTTTACAGCAACAATGGCGGCTTCCATTTTAGATTTTGTTGCCTCTATTCATATGTATAACGCATTATATAGCTAATTTTCTGTCGGCTATAGCTTTAACGATACGTCCGATGCTATTTTTATTACGTTCCAACACTAATATAAATTTTCAACAGTCCTTTTCATTTAAGTATACAATAAATTTCTCTAGATCTAGAATCTAAAAATATCCGCTGTCGAAGGGAGTTATTTATAGATCTAGAATCTAGGTCAAACCAAAATTAATTAGTTAAAATTAAAATGCATTTTTAAATCACAATACATTATTGAGTTTCTTTATTAAACTATTTTAGTCCTTAACTATTTGATATAAATCTTTGCTTTTTAGCTTCGCGTATCATCTAGTTCAAGAATACAAGTGATTTATCTATCTAGGTTCTAGAGTCTAGAGTTACGGCAAAAACCTCGGCTTAACACAACTCTATCTAGATCTACATAATAATGAGTTTCTATACTAAACTATTTTAGACCTTCATTATTTTATATAAATTTTTGTTTGTTTAGCTTTGGAATTGGCTAATTTTAGATAAAAATTTAATTTGAAAGATACTAGATCAAGGGCCTATTCGCGTAAATGAAATTTCTTAAACAGACTCAAACTATTCATATGAAGCACAAAAAGTGTGATGACGTCACGAGCCTAGATATATTGATATATCTGTGTGTCTACTCACTGATTTCAAACATTTAGACACTTTGACTCAATCGCTGATAAAGGTATCGATGATGATCTTTGAATTGAGCTTCAAGTTATAGCTTGAAGACTTCCAAAGCCTATGTCACCATCAAATGTGCTTCTCTATATAGTACAACAAAAATTGGAAGATTGTGTACAAAAACAGGTCAAGGAAATTACCTCCCCCCCCCCCCCCCCCCGTCAAATACCCCCAGGACATCCCCCTGAGTCATTACCCCGGAGCAATTACCCCTGTCCATTCCCCCCCCCCCCCCCCCCTCCTCCCCTGGGGAAATACCCCACTCTCCCAGATTTAAGAATTCTGACTCTGTACCTATATATTACCTTAATCCTAACCTTAAGAAAAAGACCAAAACCTAAGCATTCACCTGAGCCTAAAACTTAACCTAAACCCAACCCCTACCCTAACCCAAACCCAAACCCAAACCCAACCCTAGACATTAGTTTGAGTCTGACCATAAACGAATACTAACCTAACCCTAACCCTAACCCTAGCCCCGGCAGTCAAGTCATGAGTTTAGAACTTCTGCACGAGAGGTGAATGGGCGGGGTGGATGGGGGGGGGGGGGGGGAGACAGAGAGACAATGTATGACGTCATTAGGACATTGCAGTGTGGCGGGTAGGGGTTGCCTGGGGGGTGATGAAGAGGCGGTACAACGTGTCCGTGAAAGATGACCGGACAATTGGATCACGTGACCGGACAATTGAATCACGTGACCGGACAATTGATGTACGTGACCTGTTAAAGATATTTTATTGGCAATTAGACGAGAATTAAATTCATTGAAGTGGATTTTGTCGGTGGATTTTGTCGGTGGATTTTGTCGGTGGATTTTGTTGGTGGATTTTGCCGGTGGATTTTGTTGGTGGATTTTGTTGGTGGATTTTGTTGGTGAATAAATCTGTTTAGTGGATAGAGATTGGTTAATGCATTTTTAAATTAATTCGAGCAGAAAGAAAAATCAACAGAAAATAAGACAGAAAGACAAACAGAAACACAGATAGACAGACACACAAACAGACAGGCAAACAGGCAGGGTATGGCCAGGGTGCAGCTGGGCACAAGATGACGCGACAAAATCATTCTGACAAGCCGTCTCATGTTGAACAGACGTGACCTTCAAACGTGAGCACTTAATCAGCTGAATATGAGACCTGGACAATCTCTGACCCGATCTGACCCGTCACTCACCCAGCCTGTCCGCGCCTAGTTAGAGGACATCATTGGTGTGAGTTGGTCAATTTATGACAGGACGTAATTACCCTCGCCAGCACGCGACAACATGGCCACGACAACATGGCCACGACACGACAACATGGCCACGACAACATGGCCACGACACGACAACATGGCCACGACAACATGACCACGACAACATGGCCACGACACGACAACATGGCCACGACACGACAACATGGCCACGACAACATGGCCACGACAACATGGCCACGACACGACAACATGGCCACGACAACATGGCCACGACAACATGGCCACGACAACATGGCCACGACAACATGGCCACGACAACATGGCCACGACAACATGGCCACGACAACATGGCCACGACACGACAACATGGCCACGACAACATGGCCACGACAACATGGCCACGACACGACAACATGGCCACGACACGACAACATGGCCACGACAACATGGCCACGACATCATGGCCACGACAACATGGCCACGACAACATGGCCACGACAACATGGCCACGACACGACAACATGGCCACGACAACATGGCCACGACAACATGGCCACGACACGACAACATGGCCACGACAACATGACCACGACATCATGGCCACGACAACATGGCCACGACACGACATCATGGCCACGACAACATGGCCACGACAACATGGCCACGACAACATGGCCACGACAACATGGCCATGACACGACAACATGGCCACGACAACATGGCCACGACAACATGGCCACGACACGACAACATGGCCACGACACGACAACATGGCCACGACACGACAACATGGCCACGACACGACAACATGGCCACGACAACATGGCCACGACAACATGGCCACGACAACATGGCCACGACAACATGGCCACGACAACATGGCCACGACAACATGGCCACGAACACATGGCCACGACACGACAACATGGCCACGACAACATGGCCACGACACGACAACATGGCCACGACAACATGGCCACGACAACATGGCCACAACAACATGGCCACGACAACATGGCCACGACAACATGGCCACGACACGACAACATGGCCACGACAACATGGCCACGACACGACAACATGGCCACGACACGACAACATGGCCACGACACGACAACATGGCCACGACAACATGGCCACGACAACATGGCCACGACAACATGGCCACGACAACATGGCCACGACAACATGGCCACGACAACATGGCCACGAACACATGGCCACGACACGACAACATGGCCACGACAACATGGCCACGACACGACAACATGGCCACGACAACATGGCCACGACAACATGGCCACAACAACATGGCCACGACAACATGGCCACGACAACATGGCCACGACACGACAACATGGCCACGACAACATGGCCACGACACGACAACATGGCCACGACACGACAACATGGCCACGACACGACAACATGGCCACGACACAACATGGCCACGACACGACAACATGGCCACGACACGACAACATGGCCACGACACGACAACATGGCCACGACAACATGGCCACGACACGACAACATGGCCACGACAACATGGCCACGACACGACAACATGGCCACGAACACATGGCCACGACAACATGGCCACGACAACATGGCCAATACCTAACCACTACTTAGCCACTACCTAGCCACTACCTAGCAACTACGTAGCCACTACCTAGCCACTACCTACCACTATCTCTTCACTCTACTCTCCACTTTTTAACTATTATTATTTTGTCTTACAATAACAAATTTAGATAGGCGAGCATTGTCATCTGTGTAACAGCGGGAGTCAGGTACACATCAGAGCGGGAGTCACTACGGGAGTCAGGTACCCATCACAGCGGGAGTCACAACGGGAGTCAGGTACCCATCAGATGTGAATGTAGCGTGTCCAACAGAGATCAGACCCCAGGCTCCGACCATAGACCTACAGTTTAGTATCTTATAACTCTACAACTGAACCACGCCATCCATCCGACCATAGACCTACAGTTTAGTATCTTATAACTCTACCACTGAACCACGCCATCCATCCGACCGCACAGTGGGGATTACCAAATTAAAATCACGTGATCAAAATGAGGGTCACGTATTGGCTGTGTAGCAGCAATTAAAAGGCCAATGGGCTAACAATGGGCTAACAATGGGCTAACACCCCATCTTGACCAGGGCCGAGACAGGTCGTAAGGTCCAGACAGCCCCCACCCCACCCATACAACAAACCGTTTTCTCTCCAACTTTCACCCGACGACCCGAGAGCTTTATGACCCCGGGCCTTACCCTACTTCACCTCTGTAATTTCCCATGATTAGCCTGAGAGCAGGCCCTCCCCTCCCCCTGAAAACGCGACGGGGACCGTGTCTGCATACAAATGTGGTCCCTACCAATTTGACCATAAACCAGCACCAATGGCCCAGTGGTAGCTACTCAAACTTTTGCTAATGGAGACGAGCTATGACCTGGAGATTTGGATGAAATTTGAGAGGTTTTTTTTACTTGAGTTAATTTTAGAGGCAAGGCTTTTACTGTAGGCGTCACGTGGTCTGTTAGTGGGGCGGGCTAGTGGCAGCATAGTGGGATGGGTTAGTGGCACTGTAGTGGGATGACGGGGTAAGTGGGGGGTGGGGGTGAGGGGGGACTTGCATGGAACAAAGAAGGAAACACCTGCATTGCCCAACTCATTATCTTCTGTCTCCAATTTAAAGACGTCTCATAATTTGATTCGAACCAGTCTCTAGCAGTTTGAAAATAAACGCAATGTAACAGAGAAATAAGCATTGTGTCATTGTGTCAAACCATGTTGTCATGGTGTCAACCATCGTGTCATGGCGTCAACTATTGTGTCATGGTGTCATCAATGGTGTTGTGTCGTCAATGGTGTCATGGTGTCAACCATTTTGTCGTGGTGTCATGATGTCAACTACCGTGTCATGATGTCAACTACCGTGTCATGATGTCAACTACTGTGTCATGGTGTCAAATATTGTGTCATGTTGTAATGGTGTCAACCATGGTTTCAGCCATGGTGTCATGGTGTCATGGTGTTATGATGCCATCAATTGTGTCATGGTGTCATGGTGTTATGATGCCATCAATTGTGTCATTGTTTCGATCTAACTTAAAAACAAAAATAGTCCCCATGTGTTCGAAAATTTAAATGGAATCCAAATCTGAAAAGTTGCCTCTCGCTTAGACCTATGGTCTTCGACATCAATAAATGATTTTAACATTTAGTTTACATTTCCACTGAAGCTTATAAATTCCTTCAATACGAAAATATGATAGATTTCTTTACACCATTTGATTGAAACATTTATAGTGATTGACGCAACTTTGAACTTGTATTTTTGGACGGTTGTAATTGTATAGCACCCAAAAACAAAAACTGAGATTTTATTACAAGCGCAATCGGTCGGGCAATTTTCTAAAAAAACAAAATTCACAGTATTTCAAGATTGTTTTTAAACATTTCAAATAATTAAAACATAAGTTTAAAAATAATTAGATATTTAATGAACAGCGCGTGTATAATGTTCTCGCTTGGTTAGGTGTGTAGGGCGAGTGTAGGGAAAAAAGTCACAAATATATATTTGCATGGAATTTGTTAATACTTGTATGTATTAAATATTTAGAGAATGCAAATTAACTTAGGATTAATTAAATGTAATGTGTGTAGGTTGTATACGCATAGTAATTTTTATAATTCATCTAAAAATATTTAGTATGAAGTATGTAGATTGTAATTATATTAAACATAAGACTAATAGCATTTAATAGAATGCTCCAAAGTCCACGTTTTTCACCGTGTTTTTTTTTTTTTTTAATTACCGTGAAATTGTAAGCTCATCTGACTTGCTGCTACAATAGTTATGCTTAGTTCAACTACCCTTACTGCCCACATTTATCACGCTCATTACATAACAAAAGGAAAGGATCAAAACAGAAAGCCGACAAGGTTCAAAGGCTGTCATTGACACAAATCGGCAACAACACACAATATGGTCGGACAATACCTACTGAGGAGAGGCCAACCAGAGAATAGCCTACGGCAAAACATATGCAAAACACAATGATGTGCCTACATTTCTTTTATAATTAGATTTTCTACCGCGTAGACATTTAACTAAATACTAACAACAGTTGAGATTGTTGTGTAAATTATCTTAGAGTATTTTTACTTATAATTGTTATAAATCATAATGCTTTTGACGTCTATAAATAATTTATGCTATCCAAAAATACATCCCACAACAATAAACATATTAAAATTTTACAATTCTTTAGAAATAAATCACTATATTTCTAAAAAGATTTTTGTGACTTTTTTTCTGTGACTTTATTTCTGTGACTTTTTCTGTTTTTTTTTTTCCTGTTACTTTTTTTCCGCGACCACGACAAAAGGAGGTGGGATGGGGGGGGGGGGGGGATTTGATATAGAACCACCTGTAACGTAAAGTTAAGTACAAGTAATAGAATGACGTCACGTTGGTTAGCCGAACAGAGTTGGGGGCAGAGCCTCCTACCCCGTCCGCCCCCCCCCCCCCCCCCCGTAAACACTGTAGACGAATTTACCCTGAGCACACACGACCGGCACAAAAAAGTTGGGGCTACAATTGTGACTCCCCGCAACATCTGACCACCTTTAGGAAAAACTTAGTGGGTGAAAAAAATATTTAAAGTCGAGAGGTAGGCTTTCATAGCATCCATTCGCGATCACTCTTTCCAAAAAGAAGTTTAGATAGTCCACAGTAAGTTTACACACAGTAAGTTTACACACAGTAAGTTTACACATAGGAAGTTTACACACAGGAAGTTTACACACAGTAAGTTTACACACAGTAAGTTTACACACAGGAAGTTTACACACAGGAAGTTTACACACAGTAAGTTTACATGCTGTAGACTAACGGACATCGTGAGAAAGTTTGGTTATAAAAATTAAATTCCCGACTTTTTCCTGAACTTAAAAAAAAATATAGGCTATATTCTAGGCTCAACTTGTAATATTTAGGCCAAGTAACAGATGCTACATAAAACAAAAGTCCTACATTACAGTATAAGACTAATAATATAGCAAGGCGCACACCATTATTACGTTAATGAATAGGTAATTTTGTAACATGTTTTGAGAGTTCTACTCAATTATTGTGGGGTCCACATGTGCAGGGGGGGGGGGGGGGGAGGCATGAAGGGGGGGGGGGGGGGGGTAGTTCGTCGAAAGTTGACGCATATGGACGGAGGAAAGGGGGTCGGTCTAAAATTAAATTCCAAATTTATAGTTATTTAAATAGTAGTCTATAATTTATTTTCAACTTTTTAGTGCATTAGTACATAAAAGCTTGTTATTAAAACGCTTTTTATGAAATTTGTTAAGAGCTTTACACGTTTTTTATTTACAATAGAGTTTCATGACTAAAATCCATTGCGCGCCTATTGAACGTGATGACGCGCTATTGAACGTGATGACGCGTGTGGTGTGGTTGGATAGAAATGCCTACAAATTTGGTCAAAATTTTAATTAATTCATAAAAAAATTAATTAGGCATAAAATTAAGTCAAATTTAATGTCACGATGCATTGTCTTTATGTCTTGACCCACGTACAAATTAAAAACCGTATCTGTCAAGTAGAAGTGTCTGCAATTTCGCTCCGGCGTTTCGATCTAGACTGACAACAGACTTAAGACTGACGAGGAAGTGAGTTAAATAAAAGCTTGTAATAAGGTATACGTTCGGTTTTTAGCATATAGTAGATCTATTAGTAAGGTTATACAAAATTAAGTTACATTTTTACTTTTTATTGCATTTTTTTATTTATTATATTTTTGGGAGGATTTGTGAATATAATATAATCAAAGCCCTTTCCTTTTTTTAAAATTTCAGTTATTCCGTTGTAAGGCTGCACAAAATTAAAAAAAAAGATTTTTTGTCCGCACCAAGAATTAACATTTAGATCTTCCATTCCCCGACAGGTGTCGCTTCATTACGTTTTATTCTTTAAAGCCCTGCAATGTATTCCCAAACCAAATTTCAATGAATATTCCGCTCTGCACATTTGCATAGTCGGCGCTTACATTAAGTGCTTCTCGAACTTCAATCTTTCAAAACATGAAATCTTTCCACCAACCATTTGATATATCCCACTATGGCCCTGATGGCCCTGATCCCACTATGGCCCTGATGGCCCTGATCCCACTGTGGCCCTGATGGCCTTGATTCCACTGTGGCCCTGATGGCCCTGATCCCACTGTGGCCCTGATGGCCCTGATCCCACTGTGGCCCTGATGGCCCTGATCCCACTGTGGCCCTGATGGCCCTGATCCCACCGTGGCCCTGATGGCCCTGATCCCACTGTGGCCCTGATGGCCCTGATCCCACTGTGGCCCTGATGGCCCTGATCCCACTGTGGCCCTGATCCCACTATGGCCCTGATCCCACTGTGCCCCTGATGGCCCTGATTCCACTGTGGCCCTGATGGCCCCGATCCCACTGTGGCCCTGATGGCCCTGATCCCACTGTGGCCCTGATGGCCCTGATCCCACTGTGGCCCTGATCCCACTATGGCCCTGATCCCACTGTGGCCCTGATCCCACTGTGGCCCTGATGGCCCTGATCCCACTGTGGCCCTGATCCCACTGTGGCCCTGATCCCACTGTGGCCCTGATGGCCCTGATCCCACTGTGGCCCTGATGGCCCTGATCCCACTGTGGCCCTGATCCCACTGTGGCCCTGATGGCCCTGATCCCACTGTGGCCCTGATCCCACTGTGGCCCTGATCCCACTGTGGCCCTGATCCCACTGTGGCCCTGATCTCACTATGGCCCTGATCCCACTGTGGCCCTGATGGCCCTGATCCCACTGCGGCCATGATCCCACTATGGCCCTGATCCCACTGTGGCCCTGATGGCCCTGATCCCACTGTGGCCCTGATGGCCCTGATCCCACTGTGGCCCTGATGGCCCTGATCCCACTATGGCCCTGGTGGCCCTGATCCCACTGTGGCCCTGATGGCCCTGATCCCACTGTGGCCCTGATCCCACTATGGCCCTGATGGCCCTGATCCCACTGTGGCCCTGGTGGCCCTGATCCCACTGTGGCCCTGATGGCCCTGATCCCACTGTGGCCCTGGTGGCCCTGATCCCACTGTGGCCCTGGTGGCCCTGATCCCACTGTGGCCCTGATGGCCCTGATCCCACTGTGGCCCTGATGGCCCTGATCTCACTATGGCCCTGATCTCACTATGGCCCTGATCCCACTGTGGCCCTGATGGCCCTGATCCCACTGTGGCCCTGATCCCACTGTGGCCCTGATCCCACTGTGGCCCTGATGGCCATACGACACACGAATGTCTATTTGATATCGTTGGCCAGTCTATTTTATGTTTGTTTACTAGATATACAGAAGGGGAAACTTCTCTACTTTTAATTTGATTAAAATGTTAATTAAATATTTATGAGATTGGTGTAAACTTCAAACTGTTTTGTTTCTTATCAAATATCACTTTATGATAGTATCTCATAGTATCTATATATCAGGTTTATATTGATATAAACATATTTTTTGTGTAAAATCTAATTACACATTCGAGTATGTATAGGTTTACAACTATTCTTTTATGCTCAGTACTTCCCGTGTGATGCCATCAGAATCAAACGCTTCATGTGAGCTTTCCAACAGAACGGTTAGAGTCTAGAGCGTTCCCCCACGTGATCAGATCGAATAGAGAACTCGAGCTGAGGAAGATTTTGCTCCTAGTTGACGTGTATCGCTCCCCTCCCCTTCCCACCCCACCCCACCCCACGAGCCTATTGACGGGGTGAGCGGGCCGCGGGCAGACGAGCGAGGCGCGAGCGAGGGTGTACACAGCATGCATCAATGAGTGCACCCATCAACCTGCCCAGGTCTGCGCATGTTTTCTGCCAATCAATTCACGGCAACTTCCGGCAATATGAAATCTAGGGCGGGAAAGGGAAAATGAGGAAAACGTGGAATTTGAGCTCGCTCTCGCTGTTTTCATTTCGCTATTTTGGGAAAATAAACACCGGATTATAATCTAGAACATTCCTAGTTATAGAACAATGACATGATGGCCAATACAAGGACGTAGGGCTGTCAATGCTCGCCCCGGGGCACATGAGGGTGGGGGTGGGGGGGGGGGGGTGGCTACCGGGGCACATGAGGGTGGGGGTGGGGGGGGGGGTGGCTACCGGGGCACATGAGGGTGGGGGTGGCTACCGACGGTCTGTCATGTAAGCGACCAGTTTACTGTCGTGTCGGCTCAATGTTTTGTTGGGTGGGTGTCGCGTGCCCCCCCCCCCCCCCTCCTGCTTTATTTTCACCTTCAAAGACATTGACTCGAACTAGAAGAGTTTTAAGGGTCAAGGGTGAATGAATAGTAATTAGTTTAATTGTGCCGTTAATGAGTCAATCTAGGCGTCTGTTGTCACGAGTGCGTGGATTACGCAAGTGGGTAGAGCGACTTAAGCTGTCTGCCCGTCTTCTGCTCCTACACAATGAAGGTCTAAACGAAAAGCCATGATCTAAACGAAAAGCCATGATTAAAGACTGGCCTCACAACATATTGTGAGCTCATTGAGGCTGTAACCATCGCCCAACTTTTTACCCTATCAATTCTAGAAGCATCCCCCACCCCCAATCCCCTCCCCCTGCCGTCTGTTTGAGTAGAATGAATTATTCATGGGCTTTTCTCAACAGTGCTGCAAGGAGAATATCTCATCGTTCAACACGACAATTTTCTCTTTATTAGAAAAATTTAAATACCAGCTTTTTGTTTTTAAAGTCGTTTTATTTTTCTCTCCCTTTAACGGGATTGTGTCCCCTTGAATGTGAGCACTAATTGGGGCAGGTTGCAAGGCTTCATTCTTCCTGTTCCGCTGCTTATCTCCCAGTTCCAAGGCTGCATCTGCATGAGACAGGCAGGTGATACATGGTCCCACTCACAGACTTATTCAAATGGACAGTTTTTTTGCCGGAGATTTGGTAAAAGGCTGGCACGTGTTCCCCACAGAACAACTGCCCGTGGACGCCCCCCTGTTTGTTCACCAGGGTTGGGGCTGCACAGATGAGTGTATTTACGTCTAGAATGCCAATTGGAATCTTCAAGACAATGCACGTGAGGACGGGACATGTTGAAATGGGAGGCCAGGGTGGGGGTGGGGGGTGGGACGTCTTGGTAGGCACGTGACACCCTACGTAAGACGCAGCAGACTGTACAGGGGACGGGCAGGGGGGACGGGCAGGGAGCACGAAGGACATAGGACTAAGTAGCATTTGTAAGGGCAAACATCAGGTTTTGTTTTTTATTTCCCCAATTGAAATCTGATGTAATATGGAGGGACACCAGACGCCCCATTGATCCGAGCAACTCATATTCCAGAGCCGAGACAGATTGCCGGGCTCTCCATCTGTTGGTTAAAAAACTGGAGCACTAATGACATCAGCGGCTCAACACGGGCTGAAAGCTGTTAGTCAAACAATTGGATTGTATG